TACTACTACTACTACTACTACTACTACTACTACTACTACTAGTACTACTACTAGTACCACTACTACTACTACTACTACCACTACTACTACTACTGCTGCTACTGCTGCTGCTACTACTACTACTACCTACTACCTACTACCTACTACCTACTACCTACTACCTCTACTACTATTACTACTACTACTACTGCTACTGCTACTACTGCTACCTGCTACCTGCTACCTATTATGACAAGAATACAAGAACAATAACAAGAACTACGACAAAGACTACGACTACTGCTACTCCTTCTAGAACACCATTAAAATACGACAACAACCACTACTTCGATACTACAACACGATCACACCAGAAGACGAGTTTTTGGCTAGAACGGTGTCTATGTCCAGGTTCAACTTTTCCACACTTCCTCATCTCTTTCTAAGTTTGAAGAAAGGATCATAAAGGAACCTTCTGGAATCTTCTGGATATATTCTTGATATGAATCATTAATTGCTGCAGGGGGGGAAGGTGTTGCCAGGGCAAATGTACGACGAAGCAGACGGAGATTGGTCGTAAATGCTGGAACTAACTGCTTTGGCCAATGTGCTGATTGGGAACATAGATAACCCCCCCCTGTGGGCGAGGGTTGAGTCCCATCTTTCGTGATTTGCACTCCCACTTGTCGTGAGATCTCAGAACTGCAGCATGAGGAAGACTCAGAGAAATACATATTTGAAGACGACCAAAACGTACCAAAACTATTTGACAGAAACAGTCACAGACTTCAGGACCAGTCCAAAACCTTGGCTCCATGAGGAAACCGCTCGTCCAAGTACAAAATAAGCTCAGCTCACAGCCGCGTGGACCGTGTGTTCTTACGCTCCGGGTCGGTCTGCACTCCCCGTGGCGGCGCACGAGATGCGCAGCTCGTTCGGAGCTGCCCATGGAGTGGTGGCTGCCCATACGTCTTTCCGAAACTGTCACGGAAGACAAGGTTCCCTCACATGTTGAAGTGAAAAAAGAGACTCCCTCGCAAGACCTTGGCGCCGCGGCCGCCCCGGCTTCTCTTGACTGGTTGCCATGACAGGCAGGAGAGTCCTAAGAGCAAACCCTGCCAACATGCGCCTGACGCGATTCACCCATCAACCACAACTTCGAGGGTCGCCAGATTGCAGGCAGGAAGAACCAAACACCTGGCTTTGCAGCTTGCAGCTTTCCATGTCTTCAAACCAATGAAGTATCTTCAAGCCAATAAGGTAGTTCCAAGCAGGGGCTTGTCAGCCCGACTCTGGCAGACACAGGAGCCACACCCTTGGGTCTTTATCGTAGACACTTTCTCCAGATGGGGCAAGCAGCTTGCAGATGTGGAGTCGTGCTTGATAGCGGTCGGTTGGGCAGAGTTCGCACAGTGGAGCTTGGAGTCAGTGGACAACGGCCCGCCGGAGCCGGGTCAAGTGGAGAACGACCAGGGGGGCCGGGGCAACTGGTTGTTGGGAAGAAGCCGATTTTTCTGTTCATGTGAAGTATGTGGTCTAGATTTTCCAAGTTCTCCACTGTGGATGTCAACAGAGCTATCTATCATGACGGTTGGAGTCTACCATTCGTTGCCAATAAGGATGGTGCAACAAGTTAGAAGGTGTGCCAGTTGAGGGCTCTCAACCTCCGTCAACAGGGCGTTTAAAGGCGTCTCTAATTCGAACGTGTCTCAGCGCCTAAGCGTCTAAGCGCCCAAGCCAATCCGGCCATTGAGCTCCTAAGCGCCTAAGCCCAAACAAAGTCGAGCCTAAGCGTCCAAGGTCCTAAGCGTCTAAGCGCGCGCCGAAGCTAATGACGGCGGTTAGAGGCTTAGAGGCGTTTAGAGGCTTAGGGGCTTTTAGAGGCTTAGAGGCGTTTAGAGGCTTAGAGGCGGTTAGAGGCTTAGAGGCGTTTAGTGGCTTAGAGGCGTTTATATAGAGGCTTAGAGGCGTTTAGAAGCTTAGAGGCGTTTAGGGGCTTAGAAGCGTTTAGAGGCTTAGGGGCGTTTAGAGGTAAAGAGGCGTTTGGAAGTTTCGAAGCCTTTAGCACCTAGAGGTGTCTACAGCCTTAGAGGCATACAGGAGTCTCAACGCAACACTAACACATGTGTCCTTCGAGGCGTTTAGAGACGTCTGTAGTTCGAAAGTGCCTCAGCGCCTGACAACCTCAGCACCTAACCAAGCGTCTAAGCGCCTAAGCCATTGAGGCTTAGAGGCTTAGAGGCGTACACGAGACTGTGACAGGCTTAGAGGCTTAGAGGCGCCTGGAGAAGGAAGAGACACTAAAAGGCTTAGAGGCTTCTATCAAATAGGAACCCCCGCTCCCGCTGCCATGCACTGTTACAGGTAATAGGATAGACCCAAATTATATGTATCAAAGGAAATGTTGGCACAATCTGGGGGGAGGACTCGTCCAGGGAGTGGTGGGGAAGCAAAAAATCACCTAAAAAGAATGGCCAAGACGCCGGCAACACGATGTAGCATAGAAGAAATTCCAAAGAAGCGACCCTTCATGAATGAATAGACCCCTCAAAAGACATATACATATATAGGAATTAGCAGCACCTAGGAATGTAGTGTAGCGAATGAGTAGGGATGCGATGTTATATCATAGTTAGTTAGCTAGTTAGTTTCTCGTTTGTCTCTAGTGTTTTGCTATCAAGCCTTGCCCACCCTCCCCTGGGGGGAGGGGGTGTAGGGACATGCCTGGAAAATGGCATGGGAGAAAGTCCCTCGAAGGTCCCACGAAGGGGACCTATATAGAGGGCGAGGTTTACGATGATGGAGGCGACCCACAAGGCACAGTGGTCTTGTGGGTGAAGCGCCTGTTCGCCCCGGGAGAGACCGGGAGGACTTTGCATGGGGACGTGGTGACTGCTACCGATCCATATTACAGATGGTGGCTTGCGAGTCCAGACGGGGCAGTCACCACGGTGGACGGAGCATATCATATATGCAAAGGTCCTCCCGCCGAATGTAAGGGCGGAACAGGAGAACATGTGGTCCACTTAGGCAAGTGGCGACAGTGGAAGGAAGAAGAGCTCGTTGACAACACCGGAGGGATCCTAGATGAGGATACGCATGGACATGCGCAGGCATATTTCAAAAGAGTCCCAAAGGAAGGGCCAGGCGCTGGAGGAGCTGGTGATTTGCCCTGGGATGACCCAGGTGATGATGAAGAGGATGGAGAGGAAGAGAAAGGGAAGAGCGCGCCAGGGCCGTCCGGGAAGGAAAAGGCTGCAATGAAGAGAACGACAGAGAGGAAAGGGTCGGAAGAAGAATTGGTGAAGAAAAAGAAAAGGCTGACAGAGTTGGCCAGAGACCTCAAAGCCCTGAAGGCGGAGGTGAAAGCAGCTGAAGTCACCGAGGAAGAGAAGAAAGGTGCAGGCAAGAAGGAGAAGAAGGGACGGAAAAGAACGAAGAGTGGAAAGGGAAGCCCTCCCTTTTCAGGTGAGATGCGAGGAAGCGCGCTTAAGGTGAAGACTAGCCCGGAACCCGGTGGATCGTCTTCGGAGCCGGATTCCGATGAGGGCTCATCCTCTGACAAGAGTTCAGGGCGCAACCAAAAGCGAACTTCAAGAAGCAGGGGAAAGAAGAAGCAGAGGAGCAAAGGACGGAGTTCTCCTTCAGATCCCTCCAGGTCACGGAGCCGAAGGAGGCAAAGCCACAAGAAAAAGAAGAGAGGCAAAAAGAAGAACAAAAGGCCGAAAGACAGAGGGCCCTTTGGAGTGGCCGAATCAGATGAAGATCCCGACAGATCGGAAGCCGAGGATGATTCGGAATCGGATTTTCAAAAGGCCCCCGCGGGGATGACGCTGTTTCTGAAGTTGCAGCGTTACGCTCAGCGGCACCCCGGCCGGCTCGCGGCCCGTCTCCTCCATACCATGGGGGTAGCGGGGCGCGTCCCCGTGGGGGCCTTGCGACAAAAGGGGAAGAGCATTCTCAAAAACATCGAGGCAAACGCAGTGTCCTACTACAACGTGGCCTTGGTCCCGAACCTGAAGGCGAAATGGACTCCACGATCCGGGAGAGAATTGAAGTACCTCACAATTCTCCTGGACCTACTGGTCGAGAACAAGTCAGCGCAGGCTGCCGACATCATTGCCCAGAGGATCAAGGCTCTGGAGAAAAGCGTGCAAGACAACAACAGTTGGGTGAGGGCACGCTTCCTCGAGCTGGTGGAGCCAGACGACGTAGCACTTCTGGACAGGGGGGAGGAGGCAATGATCCAGAAGGAATTGGAGCGGGAGGAAAAGCTCCGAGGACCATCCGAATGGAAAGGAAAAGGCCATTGGAAGGGCAAAGGGGAGCACGAATTCGGAGCCAAGGGCCAAGGCAAGGGGAAAGGAAAGAGCAAGGAGAAGGGAAAGGGGAAGACGCCGGCCGAGGACGCTGCCGAGAGGAAGTAGATGGTGGCGCCTTGGCAAACCGAATCCCAGCGGAACCCAGTGAACCCCCAGACCCCAGAGGGGAGCTTCAGCGGAAGCGAAAGTCCGAAAAGGATGTTGAGTCGCCCGAAGGTGAAGTGGCATCTTCGGAGGAATATGAAATTGAAGAGGAGGCCTTGAACAGGTTGTGGAAGAAGCATAGACAAAAGTTTGAAAGAAAAATGGCAGGGTTTCTTGCAGAGGAACGGGATGCATTGGAAGTGGCCTGGCATGTGCTGGAAAATGCTGGGCATCTCAGGACAAAGTTTGGCAGGTTTCGGACGACTTTGGGTCAAAAGGCCACAGCCCAAGATGCCCCTGAGGGCCCCGATCTCCTGCCTATCTCGTTAGATGCCCTAGAGCTACGCCGGGACATTCAGTCGGAAGTTCGGGCGTGGGTCATATTGATGGCTTGGGCATTGAACTTCTTGTACTGCACAGGCTGGGAGCAACCACGCCACATGGATCATCCCGGGAAGCTGACTACGGCGCAAACCAAGATGGTTGATCAGCACTTGGTGCCCGCGGTGAGGCGCATGTGCCCGAAGGGATTGAAGATCCCATCTTATCAGAAACTAAAGGAGCAGCTTCAGAAGAAAGGCTACGGTTATGATGGATCTAGTTGGGTGGTGATGGAAGACCTTGCAGCCGACAAAGTGATTCCATGTTGGCCAAACAAGGGGGAAGCTGCCGTTCAGCCCATCACCAAATTTTTACATGGTGACACAAAGGAGATGGTAAACAAACCACTGCTCACCATCCTTCCGGCGGAAGAATGGCCAGAGACGGTACCCCAGTCGTATGTGCGGGCCTCGGATGCCGAGTGGGAGAGGCTCGTGGCAGAGGGGTATCAGCTAGGTCTTTTTCAGCCTTGCCCGGAGGAAGAGATCTTGAGAAGCCCCTCCGGTGAAATGATCCTGAATGGGGCCGGAGCAGTCCCAAAAGAGAAGAATGGCAAGATCTTGCAAAGATTTATATCTATTTTATGTCCATTGAATGCGGTGAGCCGCAAAATTGAAGGAGATGAGTCGACCTTGCCCTATGTGGGCCAGGTGGGGCTTTGTGAATTGGAGGCCGAAGGAGCCATAGTTATAGACAGTGAAGATTTGCAGTCGGCCTTCAATTTGTTTGAGATGCCACGGGGATGGCGTGGCATGTTCGTGTACCGCAAGCAGGTGAGAGGAGGAGTCCTTGGCTTGCCTCACGATGAGATGACATGGGTGTCGCTGAGGACGGTGCCTATGGGATGGCTCTCCGCAGTGGGGATTGTTCAACAAGCCATCAGGACTCTCGCGTTTGAGGAAGCTGGACTCCCTAGACAGTTTGAAATTCAAAAGAACAAGGAGCTCCCTGAGGGAGAACGCTTCTTACTTTACTTGGACTCGGTGGATCAGTTGAGGCCGGTCAGCCAAGCAATGAGAAAGGTAGTGGAAGGACAGGCGAGCCCTGAGCACCAGCGTTTTGAAGAGGCATGCCGGCGGTGCGGATTGCCTACCAATATGAGCAAGCGTTTGGTGGGGGCCCTAAGAGGAACCCTACAGGGGGGACTCCTTGATGGAGAAGCAGGGGTGTTCATGCTGCACCCGGACAAAGGGGCCTTTACAATCGGAGCTTGCATGTGCCTGCTGGGATCCCGGACATGGGAAACTAGAGTGGTGGCAGGGCTCACAGGGCGATTGGTTTTCGCCGGTGCATTTCGAAGGCCAGCCATGTCACTGATGAGCGAGGTGTTCCATTACTTCGGCAGCAAGCCTACATCCAAAGTGGCAAAAGATGATGCCTACGATGAGGTCTTGGTGTGTGGGGTGTGCCGGACAGAGCTCACGGATGAGACAGCCCGTGGAGAAGACTTGGCCTGCCCCGCGATGTGCGGGTGCAAACTTTGCTCTTTGGAGTGCTGCTTGAGGCACGCGCCTTATTGCCCGCATCAAGCGGTAGGAGTTCCATTGTTTTCGGAGAGGTACAGTGGTCCAGAGGCCAGATTGTCGAGAACCATGTTTAAGGCTGGATTCAGAGTGGTTGACCCCATAGATTACAAGTGGGACAGCACTATGGATGTATTCACGGAGAGAGGAAAAGAATGGTGGGCCCATGCCGATGCATCAGACCCAACCCTTGAGCATCACGCTCCGGACAGCAAAACCTTTTCAAGGGCGCGAGGTAGGCCTTATCAGTTTGCCGGAAAATGGTATGAGGGGCCAGTGGCACTGAGGGATGAAAGCCACGTGATGGGGTTCACTTACCTAGCAGCGCATGAGGCAGCAGCGGTGAGGAAAGGAAACAAGATGGCAATGAGATCCATCGCGAGGTGCAGGACCCTCCACGAAGAAGGTCGCTTCTTCACCTTGGATCACCCCCGGCGCTCTTGGATGTGGTATACCAAGCCAGCCATAGACCTGGCAGGTCTTCCAGGAGTGAGGATGGCGATCTTCTCCCATTGCTGTTATGGGGGAAGGCGCAAAAAGTGGACGAGCTTACTGACCAACAGCGAGACCATCTACCAAGCCCTTCACAAGCCTGTTTGCCCCCACGGAGATGGGGAGGATTACCCGCCGTACTGGGATCAGCAGCTTGGCCAGGTGGTGTTCCCAATGGAGCAAGAAGCAACATACCCCTGGGGTTTGTGTGAGGAGTACGCCAAAGCAGCCGTCAACCTCATGAACCTGAGTGAGCACAGGGAAAAAGCCCTTGCCGAAGTACGCAAGGTGAAGATCAGAGAAGACCTCATGAAATATGACCGGCTGCAAAGTCCGGGCTTGCAGGAAAAGGTGGTCAGTGGCATCTTGCATATGGAGAGGACCATGCAAATTGGGTTCGAAAAAGCTCATCTACAGCAACTTCTTCGCCTGGGTCACTATCGTGGCACAGATGTCAGGTTGGCCGTCGAGGAACAGGGAGGACGGCAACTGTTTCCGTACCCAGCCTATAGATGGCTGTGGCGTGACGTGCTGTCATTCAGATGGCGACAGGAAGGGCATATCAATGAGTTGGAATTTCAGGCCTTTTTGGCCCACATTCGCCGAGTGCTGCGGGAGCCTGACATGCGCCACAAAAGGGTGTTTGTGGTCGTGGACAGTCAGGTACTCTACTATGCGCTCGGCAAAGGGCGCTCTCCATCCACTAGACTCAATCGAGTCCTGCGACGTTTGGCGGCTATATCCCTGGCAGGCGACCTGTATACTTTACCGATTTGGACTCTGTCAGCATGGAACTTTGCTGACAGACCTTCCAGACGGTGAGGTGATGCCTAAGGCCCCACAGACACTTCGCTATGCCGGGTTAGCCAAAAAGACAGTTGCAGCCTATCGTCGCGCCCTATCAGCTTTCTTTTCGTATCTTGAAGATGAAGAGATTGAAATGCCCTCAAAGTTTCACCACCTTGATCGCTTGATTGCCCAATATCTGGAGTCCCTATACTTGGACGATACCCCAATTTCTTACGCAGGGCATTTGTTGAGTGCCTTCCGCCGCTTTGTGCCCCAGTCGCGGTTCAAGATCCCTATTGCCAAACAATGGTTCTCAAACTGGACCTCTGAACACGTGCCCAGGCAGGCAATTCCCATGCCAGCCAATGTGGTATTAGCCCTTGCCGGGGCAGCGCTTGAGGTGCGGGAGCATGCGCTTGCCGCTTTGTTGCTTGTTGGGTACAAAGCCCTCCTGCGAACCAGTGAGATGACCTCGCTTAGGTTTGATCATGTCAGCTGGAAACCAGGGGAGCCCAATGTGGTTATCGCAATTCCCTTTTCGAAGACTTCGCCCAAGCGCCCCCAGAGTATCTTGATTCGTGACCCTTGGCTACCTTTTTTACTTAGCTTCGCCTGGGAGCGCTCTGAATCTGCTTTCATGTGGGATGGTTCGACCCCGGCCTTCCGTCAGGCCCTCCGTTTGCTTTTAGATACTCTAAACCTAGCCTCGGTTGGCTTTACTGCTTACAGCATCAGGCGTGGAGGAGCCTCTCACGCATTTGCCCAGGGAGTTTCTTTCGACTCTCTGGTTGAATTGGGGCGGTGGAACAGCGTCAAGACCGCCCGTTTATACTTGGATTCGGGCCGAGCAGCACTTATTCAAATGCACTTTCCACCTCACGTTAACATGCAGCTAGCTACTTTTGTGGCAAAGGCCACTGTTTTTTGCAAGCAACTTCGTCAGGGGCGCAGGCTCAAAATGGTCTTGTGAGTGCCCGCTAAATTGGGTGTGCCAGCAAGGGGAGGTTAGGTGGTTGGGCGATGCCCTTACCAGGCTCCATGGAGCCTGTGGTAAATGTCTCCTATGTCTATAGGGTGAGTGGGATCACCCTGTTTCGGTCAGTCCTCCTGTAGGTAGAGGAATTCGCTGGCACTTTAGCCTTGCTGTGGCCTTTAAAAGGCGCGTTTAAGCTGTGATATATATATATATATATACTCGCGGGAACCCCACTCCATGGGCACCGTCAGGGCCTGGGTCATCTACTTCACCAAAGTTGCCAAACTCTTCATAAGGAGCCTCCTTGCTTCCCAAACCAGGCCACCCCGGTCTGGGACGACCGTTTTCCGTTTTGGGACGGTTTTCTGTGGTATGCTGTTGCGCTGTGCTGAGGATCGGAGACCAGACACTTTACCAAGGAGACCTTGCAATCTGCTTCTCCGGAGTTTAGACGCTTGGAACCAGTACAGTCGAACCATGGCGACGATGAGACGAGACGAACTACCGAACTACTTGGGGTCGCAAGCGACCCAAGGCTCCCGTGAGGAAAATTCTGCGGAACCCGCTCTCTTCCGCTTTCACCTGGCCCTTTCTTTGGGGCCCTGGGTTGGAGATGCTGTTTTTAGATGTTTTTAGGCTGTTTAGCGCAGGTTGGTGCAAGGAAAGGTGTTCGTCCTTTGTGAACTGGCACCCTGGTGCTTTGCAGCTGTGATGGCCGGACATATCCGGACATGAACCCAACTGATTTTGCATTCGACACCCCATGGCCCCGAGCAGAGCTGCTCCGAGGCCAACTGAACGAAAGCTGCTGGTCAGCACAGGTCGCCGGACAGTTCCAGCGTTTGAGATGCTCCAAGAGTTAGGAGTTGGAAGAACTATGGAGCATTGAGCACCATTGCCATTTGTTCTAGAGTCTCATGACTCCATGACTATTATATTGTGCGGCATGCTTCTCGTCCGGTAGTTATAACTATGGATTCGCATGGATGGTACGTCATTGTACCCTAGAAGTCGAACCACAAACTATTAAATAGCCTTTGACGAGCCAGGACTTCCAGGGTATAGGCATTAAATAGGGCCTCATGGGCCTCCCTTTGTGTGGACATCAAGCTCCTTTGATGTTTTTGTTCAACGAACGTGATGTCTCAATCAAATACCGAAATAGGGTCAAAGTGTATGTTTGAGATTGTGTTCCTTGCGTTACTGATTTGTTTCATGTTTCTGAAAGTGGGTGTGTTTGGGGCCCTCGGAACGTCGGTCATCATCCGTTCGCTTAAGACTCCTGGGACCAAGTGATGCCCACTAAGCTCCGCCTAGGTTTGCAAGATCAGATTTGGAGCATGATGAGGACTGTGAAAAAGTAGATTCCTTCATGCCAACCGAATTACAGAGCGATTGATGGAACATCATGGAAGCCACAGAGAGTCTCCATGTTCTGGCGGACTTTGGAACAGCAAACGAATGATCTTGCAAAGACGAGGTCTAGAGAAGGGTGTGCGTGTTGGGGCAGCCAATCTACAAACCTTAACACATTAATACAGACGATACATAGTCAAAAAGCAATGTCGAGGAATTTTGTTCTGGGGTGCTGTGTTTGTGGCAGTGTGCAGCTGGTGTGGTAAACACTGTGTTGCATTCTAGCATGATGCCACCGCAGCTGAACAATGTTTTTTGGAGCCAGGACGTTTGACTGCAACTCTTTCTCACACAGCCGGAGCAAGTCTCAGCTGTTCCTTCACTCAAATAGCAGCGGGAAGAAGGAATACGACAGTACGAACTTCACCTTGGCATACCTTTCCTTCTCTATCCTGCCTTTGATCCTGACATGTTGTCCTAGAAGGATGGTCAAGCACTCTTGTGCCCGGCTCGGTGTTGGCTGTGGCAAGTGTGTCCTCGCGGCTTCAGGTAGCCCCGTGTGCAGGCACCCCACATGTACGTGTAAGATGCACAGACCGGCAAGAAGGATAAGAAGGGCGGAGAAGATGGAACAGCAGTTGGCAAATGCGGCAAGCAAACCGTTGTGTATAGTTAGGCGACAACACATGTCGAGATCCCTTACTGGTCCATAGAAAAGGACACGCGCTCCCACCTGATACTTTGGATTCGCCCAAGCGGCATTGGCATGTTCTTCATGCAAAACATCTCGCTTCGAAAGTGAGGCTTTATCCCACCTTGGCGCGGGTGAACCATTCCTGCAGGCGCGCCCAATGAGAGAAGCGGCAGAGCGCAAGTAGCAACCAGATGGACGAAAGGTTCATCGCTGTCATGTTCAGTTAGTTCAGTTGCCTTTGTGGGAGTCTATGTCGGCCTACTACTGCAAAGAATGCGCAACATTAGCCAGCACTACAGTTTGGATGTTTTCAAAGACCCGCCTGACCATACGCTTTCCATCCAATAATCATCCTTTGGGTGGTGCTGGGAGTGCAAGATCAATTTCTCCTCAGAGGGCACATGATGAAACCGACCAAGCCTTGTTGATCACTCTTCCGCAGGCCAAATGCAGTGCTGGGGGATCCCAAGCCAGTTGCTCGGCCAGTTGAGAGGTGGTTTTGGGGACAGCTTGCTGGAAAGCACTTACACTACAGGATCTACTTGGCTGGTGGTTGGGAGCATAAGGAAGCCTGGGGCATCCATCTTCTTCTCAGAAAAGGGAGCTACACGGAAGCTACACGGAGTTCTCTAACCACTGGTCCTGGCCAGGACGCACTGGATCTCGTCATATCTAGTCACTAGTCCTACGATCATGACAACGGAGTCCTGGGGGTTTGGGGGTTCATCCAACACAGGGCACCCAATAACATGGGATGCTGTAGGTTGGTTTTGTCCTATTGCCTGCAACAGTCGGTAAACAAGAACATCACTATGCTTTGTTCCAAAGCCTGCAACTGATCCAGCGGAACACCGTGGACTTGACGGGTAATAGGAGAACGGCGGATGCTTCACCTGGGAGTGCCTAGCCAGGCCGAGCAAGATGCCAAGTTGCACAGCGGATTGGAGCCAGTGGACCTCTTGAAGAAGGCCCACCGCGACCACGTTCTCATGTGGACTGGAGCGCATGTTCACACCGTTTCGGCGGAGAGTGGGGGGGACCCCATGACTCGTGGTAGGTGAAGAACCAGTTCTGATTCACCGCTCGTTGAAAATACAGAGATTAGAGACAAGAAGTTGACCGATCTACCAATTCGTGCTTCGAGTTCTTTACTTCCCTGCCTTCAGAGTCTTGGATCCACACAGCCGCAACTTGGGCATAGGAAGTCTTGAGCATTGCCAATGTGCGGGGCCGGTTCTCACAGCTACCCACTCATTTGTCATCCTTTGGCGGCCCTCAAATTCAGAGGTGCTTGAGGTTGCTTGGTCCTGCCTACCCAGTCAGTGGATAGCCTTTAACATCCATTCACCCTTTTTGGCCCTCACTGACAACCAGGTGGAAAGAGTTCGGCCTTATCATTTGACCCTGAACTCAGGAGTTTGGGAGTTGGTAGTGGCTTCGAGTCACTGGTGCCGATGCCCCCACACAAAAAAGAGGTACTCACCAGTGTGCTCATCGTTCTTTGGCGGCCATGAAGCGTCACCGTCACAGGCATTGATTGCCATCGAGGAGATTCCCGAAGGCGCGGAGCTCGAATCTGTGGGAGGAAGGCCTTGTGGTCACGGTGACCACGGTGACCCTCAAGTGACCTGAGGGAGTTCGAACATGAAAACCACCAGAGCTGGCTGCACGGTCCCACGGGCGCACCCACGGTCGAGACGTGGCTACCGAAGCATTGCGAAATGCTTTGGCAGGCGAAGAGATCACCGTCAGCTACTTGAGTCACCTTGCTGCAGGGCGGTGGTGGTGCCCGGAACGTGGAGTTTTCCCAAGCTCATGGCACCCCTTCAGGCTGGAGGTTGTTGTGGAACAGAGGCTCAATATCTTAAGGTCTATATAACTCCCCCACACCAACTCACACCCAAACTGCCTTGTGCATCTCTCTACGTCCAGCACCCAACGTTGCACAGCTGTCATCTCATTTTACCTTATTTATCCTTATTCCCTCATCCAAAACCTCCTTGTAAACCTCCATCTCCAGACCTTGTCAACCTCCAGACGCCATGTAGTTTCATGGTCCTGCGTTTCTTCCACTCTTCCATGGAGTCTTGGGAAGCTCCTTCCCCAACCCTTGCCGTGAACACTGCCTCGGCCTGCCCTTGGACCCCGCGGGACCCCGCAGTGACTCGTCCCCAGGCGAGGAGGACCTCCTCGAGCCTCGACCACAGCGTCGCCAGCGGCTGATGGATGGTTCGGAGCTTAGACAGTGGGACTGGGCCGACGACGTGGAGCGGCGAACGATGCGCTTTTTGCCATGCTGAGCCCCAACGCTGAGCCATGCTGAGCCCCAGTGAAAGATGGATGGGAATGGTTCCACGGTGAGGACGGAGAGGTGTCAAGATGGACATATCAAGACTCAGGAAAAAAGACGTTTTCGATGGACGACTTCAGTCCAAGTCCATGAGCTAGATTGTCCAGAACCACCCACCCGCGGATAGCTCACCACATGCTCACCGCATAGTTCTCATGCTCTGCATCTCTTTGAAGGCTTTGGCTTCGAATGCTTCTGCAGCCGTTGCCTTGATGAGGCCAGATCGAGGCATCGGAGAATCCTACATAGTACATCATAGTACTACGAAAGGGTGGTTCCCACTACAGTGGGCCATCAGAGGTTCGATGGCACAGACCCCAAGGTGTCCTAGACAGATGGGGGTCCAGTCCTAAACCACCGACCTTGGATCCTCTTGGGGTCTGTGCCATTGGTCCTCTCAATCCACTATAAATGCCCTGCGACATGGATGTCGAATCTGACCGCTGGCGGTCTGACCATCCCGACCGGTGAGTGAAGAGTAGCACCTGCACCTGCCGTTGGGATGCATGTTTCGCCATGCCATACAGATAGGAAACCTAGGATGCTGATGGATTTGTTACTATAATTTAAAGATCTATGCTTTGATCATGCGAGTTTGGCTCGATCTCCTTATAAGAGTCCTTATAAGCCTCAAGCTATTTGCACGAGTTGTGAGCTCTTCCAAGTCAACACAAGTGAGTATCGTGCTGTGATAGTCTCGTGCTGTGTCCATGTGTTTCTGTTAGAACTTCTTCCTGCCAATATAAAATCCATAAATGCATATAAATGCACTGCCACCACACTGGGCAAATCCATTCGCCTCCTTCGCGGCACCGGGACCGTTCGCAGGACGCGGACCGTGTCCTGCGGACCTTCCGAAGCGCTGAGGGGGAGGGCTCGACAGGTGGGGGAGAAGTGAAGCCGAGCGTGTTGACAGAAACCCAATGAGTATGAAACTACCACGCGAAGAAAAGAGATCATCAGAGTAAAGTATGGTTCATCTCATTTTTGTTTTAAACATCAGTTGCTCTGAATAGAACCGCCCTACCAGACTCTCAGAATGGTTGTACATCTCGATGATTATGGGGATTGTGTAGTGGTTTTGGTTGATCTGTCAACCACCATGAATCATCGAGCACCACCTCACTCACTTGACGGGCCTGTCGTAACCTGTGCAGCGCCACGGGTTTGGGCTTTCGGTCAAGACCGGGGGGAGCAGCGCATCGGCCATCGTCCACGGCGTCGAGGCTCCGCAGCAATTCAGAGTTTCAGACGTGGCGCCTGAAATCGCTGAAACCGGTACAGCTTTTTCCCAAGATCAGCCATGCCGGGGCGCCTGGCGCTACTTGCGCTTTGCTGGCCTTGCTTAGTCATGGGCATCGCTCCGAATTTCCCCGTGGCAGACGTGGAGACGCACAGCGTCGTTCTAAAGAGCGCGAAGATGTCACTGCAGAAGGGTCGGGTCCGAGCCCGGCCTGCACAGGGTTGGGACTTGGGACTTGGGGCCCGGGCCCGGCATGGCGTGGCAGCTGTAGTGGTGAGTTCAGCTCTCTTTGAGAAACTTGAAGTTGGAAGTGGGCATTGCGGCCTTGCTTCTGAGAACATTGACCCGACTCAAGCAAATGAAAGGGAGGTGTTGTTCTTTCGGCGCTTAGCGCTTGATTGGCATGGGGTTCACAAGGCTGCAAGTCACCCTGGAACTTTGAGAAACTCTGTGAAGTACTCAGCTGAACTCAAAAAACTACTCCCCACTGAACTCCCCAAAATGCGTAGTATAGTCATGTATAGACATGTATAGACTATGTCTCCTCAAGAGCTGAACTGCACTCTCAGCTGAGGAGATGCAGTGGCATGGGGGAGCTTCACAGACGTCATCGACAAGACCGGCTGGGCTGTGCTAGACATTCACACGGCGAGCGGGAGGGCAGGAGCTGCCGGAAATTTTTGAGGACGTGGCTGGTAGCAAAGGACCCAAGACGAGGAGACTCCTTGATGTCAGTTTAAGTTTGAGGTGTTTGCCAGTAAACCCCAACCCCGCAAAAACCCTGCCAGTCCTGTTTGATTTGTTTTGATCCTGCATGCTTGAGTTGGCAACTTGAGTTCCTATATATTTTGCCCGGGGGTCCGGCTGTTCGGCGCCATGCTGATAAGAACATTAAGCCTTCTTAAGATTCTGCCACACGCAACCCCCCCCCAGGATTTTGCATGTAACTGATGAGCAAAAAGCAGAGTATGAGGAACACCTGCACTCTTGCGGACGATTGGAATGAGTGTGGGGTTGCAAACTATCAACATGGTATATCACGATATACACTCTGACCCCGTAACATGGAAGTGGACCATTGCGCATGGAAGACGGCTTTGCTTTAAGACAGTGGGTGTTCCACTTCGTGATGCATTCGCTGGAGGGTCGACGGCAATTTTTTGGCAGAACAGGACACAGCGACTCTGCTGGTCCCACTTATATAATTACAAGAAAGATCAAAAAAGCAATAAAGACGATATAACTGCAGGTGATTCCCCAGGCAAGAAGTTGACAAACACGACCAGTTTAGTCGTGATTCCACCAGCATCCAGATCACCTTCAGCCACCCTTCGCTCCGTCAGCCCCGCCCCTTCGGCCACGTGGGCGACACAGCAGGCCCCTTCGGCCAACGGCGACACTCAGAGCTACGCCGCAGGATTTCTCGAAGGAGCGGATGGGTTGGGGCGCGCACGGGCCAGGTGAGGCCAAGGTCATATGATCGTCATATCAAGTGTTGTAGCGAAGGTGGTACGAAAGCTGCGGAGAAAGAAAACTTATTATGTAAATCCAGTGTTATTGAAAGAAACAAGTTCTTTTACATGGGGTGTTGTCCCACCTTCTGCCTGCAAAAGTTTGGTTTGATTGGGGGTTGTGTTGTGCAGGAGCTTTGACACACAAGAGGATCACACAACACTTGCAGAATATGCCGTTTGGCCTGCATGAAGTGCTTTCCAAGAGTTTTGTCGCGGAAGCACATCCATGAGTTGTCCCCATCACAAAATGTTGGGAGATGCTTTTACGCTTTTAGCTAGCTTAGCTAGCTCTTGCCAATCCAGGATCTCCCTCCATTGGGGGAAAAACATGTCGGACACATGGCGGACACGACCCCACGCATACCCTCATGCTTGTGTTTTGGCTGAGGTGGGGCGTGGATTTCAAAGGATATGCTGCAGGCCGGCCTGTGTCCAGACCCTGAGAGGCGTTCCACGTTCCAGGTGGTGACCACACTCACAAGAATCAACCGGTCATGGTCGGAATGTAGACTCTTGATGATATTTCACCCTCCCATATGGAGAAGTGTTCCAATTCAAACATAGAGGTGGGTTTATCATCTTAAGAGTCTACATGAAAAGAGGGAAATCCGTTCTTAGCGCCGCAGCGACCGCGTGCGTCCAGCGACGTCCGAAGTGCTCGTTTTGCAGGGCTCGAGTGGTAGCACTCCATGTGAACCCAAGGACTTTTGACTACAACACGAGGTAAACCCTTTTGCTCTTTAACTTGTCTTTGAGGGCTGTAGGCTCTAAGGGTTTGCACCTCCATAGGCTCTCAGGGGTGTGAAGGATCAGTCATCCTCGAGTCCCTACCAGTCACACCAGAGCCGACAGGCACGGTGCCGGAGAAGATTCGGGACTTCGTGAGTGCAAACATGGACTGGATGGTCAGCAAGGCAGATGGGCTTCGTGGCAGATGGGCCTGTGATTCGAGTGATTCGGAAGGGACGTCGGAGGACTTTCCCCAACCGCCTCCGGTGGAGTTGGGGATGGTCCTCCTACAGCGTCACTACTAGCATACCGGAAAGACCTCTAGACGCCAATGCTTGTTTGAGCAGCCTTCGCTGATTGTTTGCATGTCTACCAATCCCAGAGTCTGTGTAAGAAACTTGGAAGCTGTGAATTGGAATCGCACGTCCGACAGTAGCGTTTCACCAAAAAGAAGCGCGCATGTGTTTCCCGCAATACATGGGGGTGTCAACACAGCCGGTGGTTAAGCAAGTTGGTTTGGATACAGAGAATGCTCCTGCATAGGTCTTTGCAGAACATACCCGGTCAGTGGATAGATAGCCTTTAACCTTTTTGGGGGAGTGCTTTCCCCACTAAACAAGAAGAGGCTGAAAAAGGGTAACCTTTATTTTCCAGGGAAACTGAAGGAGTCAGAGAAGGAGACAAACCAAGGTTTGGCCTGCCAGTGCCAGCATCCCGCGTATCGGGTCGTGGTGGCATGTGTTTGAAGACCTGAGACGTTTCGATTGGAACATTGTTCTCACAGCTAGGTCTAGAATCAGAGTGTTCAGAAGTGAGAACACTCTGGTCTCACGAATCCATTCTCACTCTTTAGTACTCGCGCAGCTAGGTCATGATGAATGGAATGGAGCCTCGGAAGTGCATTCCATGTTTCACCATGTTTCGCCCTGCGGTCAGGTGAAGGAAAACCCTTCTGACAGTCACTTGGAGCAATTAACGTGTAATTCAGCTGGAATGGATTTACAGAGTTGGGTGCCAAAAATCTCAAGCTCGCGTACGGAGTTGGTACTCATGCCTTCTATCTTATTATGATTCAGTCTCAAATGTGATCATTTTTCAACATCAATGTGGGAGCTCCCCTTGCATTTCTGTTTGCAAACAGTCAGTCAGCAACAGTCCCCAAGTGCAACCAGCCACAGTTGACCCAAACTGCCTGGTTCGACTGGCAGACGGTTTTGTGAAGATGAGCAAAGCACATGGAAAGCGTCTGACATATGCTCAACAGCTGATTACGAAGCTCCTCCAGCCGCAGCAACACATCGATGAAGGCTGTGGTAGTGGGTGGGGCACAACAGCCCTCAAAAGTCTTCTCTGGCTTGGGGAAAGCTGTCGCTGCCCGCATTGGTGGCTTCCAAGGGCTTGCCGTTGGCCTTTGTTGCCGCCCACCCGTCCGTTTCAGTGCTTCAACCCCTCCGTGGTACGCCCGTGGTGAAGTTCCTTTTGGAAGGGTTCCTCATCAGCCAGTGGTCCTGATGTGAACGATCCGGAATCCTCTATGATGTGCACCGTTTTGCAACTCCTGCGTTTGAAAGATGTTGAAGCATGTTGAAACAGCGCTTTCTTGTTAAAAGATGCGATGTTTATGCCAAGAATCTGAACTCTGTGATCGGTGTGGCGTCTGTCCACATCCGACCCCCAAGGCTATTGGCAGACCATCGGTTACCTGTTGGCGCAGCTTCATGGCTTGGCGGATGGATATGAGGCGGCGCGCGATGCCGATGGCAGCTTGGCCGAACCGGATGCCTTTGGAATGAGTGAGGTTAGGAGAAGTTGGTGACGTGTTTGTTACTAACACATCGCTAGTTGTTGTCTAATTATACTGGCATACTGAAACTAACATGATAATGTTCCCAACCACCTCAGCCAATGCCTTTTCTTTATTTAGTTTTGTTTATGGTGAGTGAGTAGCTTGAGGAACCTTTGTCCAGGTGGGCTAGCAACTGTGACAACTTGCTTGTAGGGACTGCGACGGTTTGGACGGAGTTGTCGATGCCCCTTTCAGCCTGGTTTGGGAAATGATGGTCCACAAATGTGTCTCTTTTTTTACCCTGTAGCTAAGGTTTGGTGAGTGGTGTGTGTTTTTTTAAAACTATGTTGCAGTTTTTCACCAGCTAAGTGAGTTTGGTAAAGAACGGCAGACCAGTTCGTCCAAGTTCTTCAGTCATCTTCAGTCCAAGCTGCACATGCCAAGGATATAATGGCTTGCCATTGACCGTGGAAGAGACTTGCTGGAAATCTTGGTTGGGTAAGCTTCAGGTCCAGGTTGTTTCGCACCAGTCGCAGGGTGCCATTGGGGAAGACTGTATTTGGGGATTGTGGTGGCATGTAAATGTAAATGGTCAGTCAAGATGTCTATGAAATGTTCTTGCTATTGGGGATGCATGGGGGGGACCACCGTACCACTATTTCCGATTGTTCCTCGGTGTTTGCACTGAAAACTGCCAGCTGCTTGAAAACTGGCGCATGAATATTTTACAAAACCATATAAAACCACGCTCCGAAAAACCGCCGCAGGATTCCGGGCGCACCCTCCCTTCTTGCATCCGGTGTTTCGTCAGGACATGCTGATGCTTGTCATGGTGGATACTGACATGGATGACGTCGTTACAGCCGTGGTGGCCGAGGGTCACTTCATCAACCAGCGGCCCAGCTGGACCAGAACAAAAAGACCTGATCTGGCTCAGTACATGCACCAAGTGTTTTCCTATGCTTCCACCTTGTGTGCATCACAAGGATTTTTGTTGAGGAGTTCTGGCACCGCATTTGTTTGAAAGAAGAGATTGACATGGATTTACTACAGATCTCCGGTCCGGCACTTTGGCAATTTGGGGGTAGCTTGCAGCCCCAGAACCACGTGGAGCCATGCAGCTCTCGTGGAGCCATGCAGATCTGCCTCTCCCTTTTGATCCCTTCTCTCTGGGGGTCCAGTAGTGGGTGGATCAAATCCATGGGGTCCATTCCAAGACTTCATTTGGGTGCCAGCCTGAAATTGATCCACATGACCTAGCTATCAGATAGGGTCAGTCTATCAGAGCCTATCCCAAGAACATCCGCGCATGGACCCTAGGATACCCTAGGTCTCACGAAGCAACCGGGCACAGTCCTTTCTCCGTTCGAGGCATTTTTTGCATCGGCGTCACCAGCGGCGTCATCGGATGTTTGACCCCTTTCCCGAGTACTTCGATGTGTCTGGAGACACCTGGCGTTTCGTTCAAACGAAAAAAACACGGCGTGGTTCGGCTTGTTCTCTAAAGGGGTGACAAGGAAGTAGGGGATGATGGTTTTTCAAAACAGGAGGCCATGGTCTCCTGTCATCCAAGGGGGGTATGGAATATTGGCACGTTTGCATGTATAGTATATAGTTATTTTACACAGGGACAGAATTGCGAAGCCTCACTAAACTCCTCTGATCCGTGGAGGCCGACGCCAGGAGAATCAGTCCGGATCTAGCCAGCCTGGTATTTTGGTCGACAGGGGGTCTTCCTTCAACAGGGCTGCCACTTGATTGCTATGTTCAGTTGGGGGCTTCTTGATGCCCCGTACCCTCTCCCAACGATCGCGTAATCATTTGTTGCACAGTGAGGAAAAAAACTGCCTTGATGGCAGGTGTGTGCCCTAAACCCTAAACATAGTCAAGAAGTGGAATCAGGCCTCCAAAGGGCCAAATCCAGGGTCGGAAGATGGGTTTATTTGCTTGGTTTCAAGTGGGTTTGTAGATGCAGTTTCGGGAGGCACCCAACTGTTCCTAGCTTGGAAGGAAAGTGGCCAAGCGAGGCCGCCGTTGCGATCAAAGAGGTGAAGTACCAAAGAACCTTCCCCCCCGCGCTCGCTCAATGTAGACTCTTGATGAAACCCCTCCATTTGGATTGTAAAAACCCTTTTCATATGTGGGGTTGTATTTGGGCTTTTGCAGCTACACCAACCCTTCTTCAAAAGGGGGGAAAGCGCAACGCTTCGCTCGGCTTGAAAAGCCCCAACATTTCAGGCGCAGCGGCGACACCATGGGCATTGCAGCGCCTTGGTCCAGGTGGCACCGGACCTAACGGATCTTTGGGTGGCCCATGCCACCTGGGACGAATATCGAGGACACCCTCCAGCGGCCGAGACGTGGGTCCTTTGTGTCTTGGGAAGGACCGTAGGAGGTCACGTGCTATGCCACGTGGACCTGTAGTAGTAACAAGTGCCTCACTAGTAGTAACAAGAAGAATAGGAGCACTTGTTCCTAGTAGCTTCTTGTTACTACTAGCGTGGCACTTGTTTCTGCCACGTGGACCTGGGACGTCGAAACCAAAGGGGAGTGGAAGTTTGCCGACATAGCCCACCCGAAGCGTGGAAAGATACAAGAGAGATGTGTGGAGAGATGTTTTTGGAGATGGGGTGAGCAAATGGCACCTGCAGGGAAAAGAGAAAGTTGTGTATTTGCTGATTTGAATTTGCGGGATTTAAGCTCAAGGATTTCAATGGCTACCAGGCATGGCTTCCCAACCTTTGAACACACGTGTTTCGTCTCAACTTCTTTCCGAACGTGGCCGTCGAACTCGGGAGGAATGCTCCGCATCATCAAATATTTCGACATGCCCTTGCCCGGCGTGAAGGTGCAGCGGTTAGCCTTCACAGCGGATCCAGGAGAGTTGTTTGTCGTGACTGTTTCAAAGCTTCTGCGATTTGTGGTGGTGGATGGGATCAAGTTGCTGGTTTGAGATGCCTTCATGATCCTTCATGCATGCTAGGGTGGACGCAAAGCTTTGACTTCACTTTGCAATCTGATAAATGTCTTTGGTGGAAGGTCGTTTGCCACATTCTGGAGGTCTTCCATATCGCAGCCGTCTCACAGGAGGTCTTTACAGCGCTGACGACTTCTACGTACTGGATTCCAAATTGGTGACTTGGCGTTTCGTGAAACGGGGGATCGATCCGTGGCACCGCCAGCAGTCGGAGATCGATCGTTCGGCGAGGCGAGACTCGTGGATTCGCAGTGCCAAAGGCGCAGCGTGAAAGACGAAGATGTCCCGAAATCGTGGGAAATCGTGGATGGCATGGCCACTGGTTCCAGACCACGGTCCAATTTCCTTATATCATCTCATGCCAAACGTCTACAAACAGGAGGTGGTCCACTTCCATGGACGGGTTGGAGGGAGGGTTTCCTGATGCAACTTCATAGAGGAAGGGAGTCTTTGAGTATAGCTCCTTGGGCAGTGCACCTTTCCTTCGCTACTTGTGGCGCGTCTTCTTTCGGATCGACAGGTCCACCATCCAACCAGACGGTTGGATGGCGGACAGTGGTAGGGCCTTGGTAGCTGTTTTGGGGGGGGCAAGGATGGAGACACTCGGCGTAGAGAAAGCAGTTGGCTGTTGGTGAAATGGCTCTTTAAACCCCGTTATGGCTCTTTAAAACCCTTTTGAAAGTGATACATATATATGTATATATATAGTTATATATATATATGTATATATACGTCCCATTCTAAGCAACCACCTTTTCTAGCATAGCGCCAAGACACTCACAAAGCACCCTGATGGACAAACGGAGCCAAGTCCACTCGTCGCGTATAGACAGAAGTGTAGCCATCAGTCACCGAAGGTCACCGCCACCAAACGGAAAATGGCCTCCAGGTGGTCATGGAGACCACCATCGATAACTACAACCGATCCTTGTGCCTTGACTGCCGAGAGTGCCATGTTGGTCGGTGCAGTCACGTCCAAACTCAACCAAAGAGGCGAGCTTTGCCAAGAAGAGCGGTGACAGTAGGCACTTTTTGGAGGTAGAAAGTTGGGAAGTGGCCGCCCAAAAGCGTCATGTTGGAGGACATCGAAGAAATCGTTGGAGGAGCTGTGCCTGTCTTTGGTTCTTGTTGTACTTCCATGGTGATCCACTACTGTCATTGAACAGTGGCACACATTTTGGCGGGAACAAGCAGTATCAAGCAGTGTTAATAAACTCCCGGGGCTGAGAAGTATCCAAGAGAGGTTAAGTGACCTGAAAAATGACCCTGGGGCACCTAATGGGAGAGTCTCTTTCGGGTTCTTCAGCCTCTTTATTGGATTGTTGGTTTCTTTCATTTCGTTTTCTGAGCATTTCCGCCAGCTAATCCCACACATGCATTGAAAAACCTGGATTCTGCATTGCAGAAAGGTTGTCTACACTGTGTTCCCGCAAATGCGCAACCATGTCAGACAGAACTGCTTTGTTAGGAAACCCCAGATCAGCCAAACGGGACAGCGTTGTTCAGCTGTTCCCACAGGCATTGCAGTCAGCACGAAACCTATGGGTTTGCATGAGCTGCTCATGCCTTTCCCATCCAAACCGCTTCGTCCCACAGCTGATCGACTGGTCATCCACATGCCCACCCAACACCCTTCTTCAGGAGATGTCGGGATTCATGTTTGGTTCATGAGTTCATGAATGTTCAGGAGGCTAGGACCTGCGAGCAATATGTTCCCCTGATCATGGACCTGCAGCCCAGAGCCCGAGCCAGAAAAAACAATAACAACTCTGAATAGGGTTAGGAGGCCTTTTGCTAGAGGGAACCAGCCTGCTTGATGGGGGTAAATGATGTCCAATCCAACTGGCCTCAGCCCCATCCCATCTGTCTTGGGCGGACCCCGTTGGAATCTGCTGATCTCAGTTCCTGGGCCTCCAGGTGGTCCCAGATCAAGCCGGAGAGCGTGATGACCTGGGCGCGGGCGATGGTGGCCAACCGCCAAGCCACCAGTGGAGACGAGTGGACGGAACACCAGGTGCGGCATAGCAGTGGAACATGCCGGGGAGCTTAGTGAACCTCGCGGGGAGTCTTCAGGTGGCGGTGGACGGCGCTTGGACGGCGTCCGTCGCGTCGGTGGTGGTGGTTGTTTGAGGGGGGGGAAGCAGATGGAAATGGAAAGCAACGATGGGTGGTGGAAAACGTACCGTTGCAAAGCAAAAAGTTCAGGTTCCATGTGAAAGGATGAGGATTTCTTGCTCTAGGCTGGGGCTAACATAGTGTGCATCCACTGTTCGTGGGAGGAGAAGTGCCGAGAAATGCCTTCAGAGCACCAGAGACCAGGCCGTACCACAGGTGTCCAGCTGTCCGGAGTCAACAACTAAACTCTCCTGTAACACTGGCACTGGATGATGGCAGTTGTCACATTTCCATAACATTTCCCTTGTGGAGCTGCAAGACAAGATTCAGATAGAGGCCGAATGTATGTTCACTCCATGTTGCTCTAGAGACACGGGTTGAGCATGTTCTGAGCTCACCTGCGAGCGCAAAGGCAACAACCAGTGGATGGTCGTTGACTACAAGCGATTTGAACCAGGACGTTGGCCCACAAAGACTTGGATGGGTTCTTAAACTTCATGGTATCAATGAAGTTGAGGGGAGGCTAGCAGAATATCGACAAGTTGAGCAGTATGTTTCCTGTAGAGTTGAGCAGTTGGTATGCTTTTCAAGCCTTCTGCCTGTGAGTGACCATAATTTGTAGGCAAGGATACAAGCGAGCAAAGGTAATGCAGTTCCGCCTTGCTTTGTGCTGCCGAAGCCAGTCCCAACAGCTTATTGTTTGCAACTGCCAGTCTGCTGACCTTCTGTTCCTCCGACTGTACGATGTCGATGCCTTCAAATGTCCTAGAAGTGTGATTGAATGTTTTCAGTCTCAATGTGTCGAGAAGAACTTGTCAATCTCTTACTATGTCCACACACGGTTCTTTCATGTTCTTTCCCACCAAAGACTTCGATACTTCGGGTGATGTGACACCCGCTCCGCCGGGTTTTGGTGCACTGGCTAACTCCCGCTTCGCCCCATGGAGCACCCCATCCGTTTCACCTCCACGTAAACGTCTTCCCGCGGACCTCCACTCCGTGCGAAGTCCCGCGGTTCACCCGCAGGAAAGCCCCTGAAAGATGGAGTGCTGTGGATTTCCGAGACGATGCCCGGACACTCGCAGCGGGGCGACGTGCCTGGGCGCAGCGGTTGGAAGGGGTCCGTTCCTGCGGCACCGGTAACCCGGGCAGGCCAAGGGAGCAGACTCCATGGAAGAAGAGGTGGCCTTGTTGGCTACGGTGCATTCAACATGACCTTTTGTTGTGCAGTAGATGATGTGATGTTGTTCTTTGAGTAGGGGTGTTTTCCAGCTATTCAGGCTGAGCCGGTCACACTGAAGTAGCTTGGGGATGCCTGGTGTTCACCAGGGAAAGACAACTCGCAAATGGTAGTAACTGGTGCAAATCCGGATGAATGGTGATGAATATGTCACATGTTCAATACTCTATAGTTTTCCACTTGGCCGTTCCCGTTACAGGGGGCCACTGTTTGGGAGTGCAGGGTCAGTACCAAAGCTCGTGGACTTCCCATTAAAGAAAATAGAGATATTATATAATATATAGATATATACACAGAAAATAGAGATTTCCACCAGATGTCCTGGAGGTCCGGAGTTTAGAGCCCAATGCTTTGAAACCAGTGGGAAGAGGCTTGCACTGCTTGCACTGAATGAGTGGCTTTTCCGGTTCCCGCCAGCCCGGGACCTATAGAGGTGACCCATGTGTTGCAGAAGCGGATGTCGTGGCCAAGCTACAACATCCCCTACTTCGAAGCTTGGCAGCGGGGGTTGTCAAGACCAACGAAACCATGGGAACGGGGAAACGCGTTCGACGAAGGATGGACATGGAATGACTTGGATATTGCTTGAGCCTCCCAAGTGATTTCTGGCTTGTGAAAGTCCAAGCCTTGAGGTCCCAAAAGCTAAAGAGATGGTGCATGGTGCTAAGAGATGGTGCCAACGTCCCCGCCGTGTCCCGTTCGAAGGCCGTTTTGACATGAGCGTCCCTTGCGCAGGAAGATATTTGGAAAGTTGGTGGTTACGAAGCGATGCAGAAGAAGACCCACCACCCAGACGATTTCAGCTTTGACAAGTGCCCCCGTGCACTGATGTTCGAACGCGCCCGAAGCTTGGCTGTTCGAGGCTGCAGGCTGCGGGTCAGGTGGGGCAGAACTCTCAAGGGTAGAAGGCGCATGAAGGCGCAAACCCCCAGAGGTCCTTTGGATGGAGCTCCACATATGCAAATCTGCCTCCACTGAGGATTCGACTGCGATTTGTTGTAGAATACTCAGATCTCTGAGATGTTTTCGACTTGTAACAGTTCAATGAGTTCTACAAATTCTGATAGGCTGTCCATGTACAGTAAACTCCAACCTAGTTGCATTTCGGCAGTTCCCTTCAGCAGAGACTACATAAATGATCATAATTGGGTTTCAGGATGTTTCAGGCCCCTCCTTGTCGAATGGACCTCCAAGAAATCGTGACTGTAAAAGGGGTGTTCAGAGTATTGCAGAGTCAAATTAATTGTACAACATGAGAAGAGTGGGTCATCTCCGGTTGGTTTGCTGGATAGGCATGACATGATGAGTTCTAAGGTGGATGTGGAGACAATAGGGCAAGCGGATAGGACCACCACGTTGCCATATCGTGTTTGCACTCAGTGCCGTAGACGAGCCACGCCTTCAGATCAGATCGTTGTGTCTCCGAAGTGAGGGTTTGGGCCACAAATCTTCTCTAAACAGAGTGATTGGCCCACATCTCATTGTTGCGCGGCTAGGTCCTTGGCAGGTCCTTGGTGGTTTCTTTACGTTTGACCATCCGAAGGGAGCCGATCTGAGCCTTGGGCTCGGGCTGGAAATCCGATCGGATCCGGCGAAGCCTTTTGAGGACAGGAAGGCGCAGGCTCCTCGCTATCTTCCCTTATGGCTCTCATCCGATACAATCGTGCCTGGGCGAACAGCAGGAACAGATAAGCAGGCAAGTCGTGCTCATCTATAGATTTAGTTGCTGTAGGGAAGAGTGAAGAACCTTCAAGAGCAAAGCAGCTAAGCTTCAGCTGAGGTATCGATGATCCATTGGCGAGGGGTGATGCTTGCAACGGAATCAGTGCAAGATGTGACCTCAATCCTCACAAACATGCCGCTGTGCTTGCAGATGGATTTGGGATCAAGCCCTGATGACTGGGCGGAAATGGGGTGGGGCGAGTTCCCACCGAAAAGCGCACCCGGAGAAAGAGAGTTTGTGTCCCTCGGACTCCCCATGACTCCCCCAAGACAGATGAGTCCGAGACCTGCTGGCGGAAGGTTTTCCTTTCACATCTTTCCCACTGCCAAAAAAGCATTTAAAAGAATGGATCAGAGAACTGATCAGAACTGATCAGAGAGAAAAACCTCATCTCCTGAAAAACCTTCGAACTTCGCCTCCAATTTTTGGTCGTTAAATACTCCTTTGCCATGGCCCAAACCCTTCAAAAATCCGTTTTTTCATGTCTTCTCCGGACGTTCACCGTCCCCCCGCTGTTTCGGGGCTTACGTCCGTTCCGTCCCCCACGGGTCAGTTCCGTCCTCGTCCTCGGCGTCCGAGCTCCGCGGCGTCCGCGTCCGCGTCGCGGCAGGTGAGCTACGACTGCTTCGGCGCCATCGATGCGAAGATCGCCCGGTGGCGGAACTTCTCCGAGGATTTGTCCTTCTTGGCCGTGCTCCGGTTGGGAGAAGGAACGTCGGCTGGGACGTTCGGAGGTTGGGATCGTTTTTGGTTGGCAAGAAGGTTGGTTACTGGGCTGAGTTCCTCTACCACCTGATTCACCTTTGTCGCAAGCCGTCTTTGTCCGTGTTCTTCTTGGTGCCCCACGGTGCCGCAAACCGCCGATCCCGTCCCGACTCCGAGGTCTCCTCGCCGACCTGGGGTGGCAATGAACGCCCATTCTCTTGGAGCGAGGTGAATCCGGAGGCGCCTCGTGCGCAGACCGCGCAGAATGTCCGTGGCGGGTGACCGGATGGCACACCAAGTTTAAAGCCTTCTGTGGGAGTGAAGCTGAAAACCAAAGTCTATTGAGTCTATATGAGTCTTTTGAGTCTATTACCAGTGGGGTGCAGATGATGGACTTTTGTAGCAAGTGACCGTCACCAATGTTGGGTTTAGCTGATGTTCATTCCAGAACGGTTTTGGGGGGGCACCGTCACTTTGAGAAATGTGGCATGCTTTCAATAGTTGGAGAACCAGACGCACTACCAAATATTGCACTCATATTAAGATACACACCCCGAAAGGTTAAAATAGATTGACATAGAGTGACATGTCAATTGAAAACATGTTCCCTAGCCAGTGGTGTTCTACGATTGTCTGACATCGACATGGAACATGAACCCCCCAATGCCTGCTTCCCTTTGTAGGCAGGTACATTGTGGTTAATGGTGTGCTGTATTTTCAATGTCTATGTTTGCTTTCCAGGAGTCTAAGAAAGCTGTCAGGTTTTGGCAAAAGCCCGCACACTAACCATCACCCCTCACTACTCTTAGTGCAAACTTGTAGGACCAACATCTTCTGTGGTCTAACCTCCATATACACTCCCAGGAATAATCATGAAAGTGGTAAAAGCCGTGCGTCTAGAGGAAAATGGTCATCCAGCGATTGTCCGATTGTCCCAATGATTTTTCCAGAGAGTACAGAACTCTGCAGGACAGGTGTTTTGTCCCTCTGCAGGACGCTTCCTGTTTTTTTGATGAATTTTTCTACCTCGGCGTCCGAGGTGGATGGCTGCCAAGCATCAGACCACCGTGGCCATCCAAACACCTTTGACTTCTCCTGGTACCAGACTCTTGGAGACGAACCCCCCGGCAGAATGCCGCACCCCGCGCGACCCGACCAGCGCATACCACCGGACACCAGCAAAAACGCGGTCGACCGAAGGGTGAAGGCGAGAGGCGAGGCAAGGCGAAACAAGTCGTGGGCTCCATGATGGGTCAGAGCATAGAGCGGCCTGCAAATAGAACAGGTTGATGCCCATACATGGCCTATGCATGTTTGGAAATAGAATATGAATGAATATGACTTCTATAATATAGATAATTCTAGCATATTCTCGCCTAGCTACATATATATACAATGGGTAGTTATGGAAGACTGAAGATATCCATGATCTCCCACCTTAGGCTGCCTGCGGAGTGGCCGCAGCGGACGGAGCTTCAGGCGCAGCTCCCACGAATGGCGGTGACGGAGCTCCTTGGCGGTGACGGAGCTAGTCTTGACCAGCCCCGTTCCACAGCATAGACATGTGTAGGACTCCTGATGAATGAGGTGAATGAACATGCATATAACTGATAGTTCTTTTAGCCCCTCCCATTGGGCTTGAAAGACCTCAAAGCGGCCGCGGGTGTCAAGTCTAGAACACCGAATAAGACGAGTCAGACGAGTCTACAGGATCGACTTCACCGCTTCGGAGAAAACGGACGTTGCTTTCACCGTCACCAACTCTGCAGTGGGTGTCGAAAGTGGTCGCCGAAGTCGCTGAAACGAGTGATTGCGAGCCAAAAACGAAATTGGAAAAAGTTTGGTTGGCAAAGGCCTTGCAAGGTAAAAGGAAAAAGCGCAGGTGCTCAAGGTTCAGCGTCCGAACTAGGATGCGAAGCCAC